ATGAACTGTGAGATCATGACCTGAGCTGAAGCTGGATGCTTAACAGACCGAGCCACCCAGGCGCCCCTAAAATTTTTTTTTTAATCTGCGCTGCCAGCACTGAGCCTGATGCGGGACTCGAACTCACGAAGCCATGAGACCATGACCTGAGCGAAAACCAACAGACGAACACTTAACCGACTGAGCCACCCAGGTATCCCAATAATTTCTTTTCTTTTACTTTTAAGTAATCTGACATTTATGTTTGTCTGCAATATGAGATACAGATATAATTTTTCTCTAGTCATTTGGTTCAATAATCCATCATTTCCCTGCTGATACAAAATGTTATCTTTATCATAAATTCACACACAGAGATGCATACATATACTCTCCTAACTTCCAATCCTATACCTTCTTTAATGTCTAACTATCTCAATATTGTGTACACCATCTCTCACCATACTGCTGATGTTTTCAGCTTTTCTTGACAACATTCATGTATTTATTCTTACAGGTGAACAAGTTAAGAAAAATACCCTTACTAGAACTCTAGTCAAGACTATCGTAAATTTAGAGATTAACTTAGAGAAAATTCAGCTTTACGATAAAAAATCTTCCATTTAGGAAAAGAAGTAGTCACCTATACCTTTCAAGAAAGTCAACAGCAGTCTTTACATATTTTCTGCATATTTCTTCTCAATTCCTTGAAGTTTTATATGTTGGTGCTACTGTGAGTTGGATCTTGAACCATGACATTTTCTGAGTTATGCTAATACACGGGAAACCAATGGATTTCTGTATACGTATTTTTACCCAAACACTTTGTCAAGGTACGCATGCTTAGATAAGCGTTCCTAGGTATTTCCGAGAGGATACTTGTTAAAAACAAATCACCAGACTACATCCAAACAGAAAATGTAAGTGTGTTTGGAAAAGAGGGCAGTGAAGGATCTTCACTACTGTGTTTTTGACAAATTTCCTGGAAGACCTTGATGCTCATACGTATTTAGGAACCAGTAGGTTAGACCACCAAATTGAGAGCTGAAGTAGACTAACAGTTACATACCCATGAAGTTTTAGATGACTTCCCCCATTAAAAACTCCAGAAGCTACCACTAAAATAACCACACTGGAGACAAGTATATCACAGAAGCTCAAAAATATACCAAAATTTAGTTATACTCAAGGAGAGATCACAGGAAATACCAGCTATCAAGACTTCATTAAACATTTAGTATGCATTTTCTACATACAGGATACCTACTTAGGTTCTACACTCTCCACAAAGTATGGAAAGTATCTTAAAACAAATGTGTTCTTTGATCTGATGAAACCAAAGATGACCTCTCTGGATCCATAATTATCCTATCAACATGTTCTTCTGTGGAACAAGGAGTATGACTATCAGCATTACTCCATAAAAACAGAAGAAATGCACTAACGTGAAAACCATCAGCAGCTATTATTTTAAGATGGCAAATTGAACCACAAATCACTCCTAAGATATCCCAACGCGCTTTACTAACATGCAAATCTAAGCCAACATTCCATCAATTCCAGCGAGAATGATCAAAAGAAACAATAAATATAAAAGAAGCTCTCAAACTGGAGGAGAGCTTGTCTTCTGGATCCACAAGCTTCCACAGTGAAACGTTCCTTGAGGCCCGGACGCCGCAGGCCAGGTGAGCAAGACTGTGCTACAGCAGCAGGGAGCAAATGTCTGTCAGGGGTCTGAAGTCATGTCACATGAAAGCACTGACACTTTATAGCTTTGGACAAAACCCATCACAACCGCACAGCACTCTCGTGCCCATGCAGCTAACGAACGCACATACACAGTGTCACCCGATCCCACAAGAACACTAAAAATCAGGACTTCCAGTTCACAAATGCAGCAACAGAGACTCAAAGAAGTAAAATTTATCCAAAATCACCTGGCTTATAAGGAGTATACATGGAATTCAAACGTTTATTTCCCTACGTGTATCATAGTGTTGTTTTCTACAATAGCATGCAAACTTAGAATTTTTATTTTCAGCACATACTCTCATTTGTTATTTCATCTGCTTCCCACATCGCTACAAATCAGAAAGAGAAATCATCCACATTTCCCAAACAATGGGATGAGTTCAGCTAAAATGAAATATTGTATGTGAAATCACTTTGAAAATATAAAACACAAATCCAAGTGCCGTTACAAATAAGTGAATCACTAAGCTTCTGTCAGTACTAAAATCAAGAGTATTTTTCTAACAGATTATAGACAGCTCTGTCCGGCTTCCAAGGAGGAGGATAACAATTATTTGCTCCACGGGAAAGAAAAGCTAGAAGTATTTCACACCCATCCAGTCAGGTAAGAGAATTCAGAAATCTCAGGTACCTCTGTCTCCTGCTCAGCCATGAGAAACGGGCCTGAAATATTTACTATCCACAGCCACTGGGAACAGCATTTAGAAAGACAGACAGCCAAAAGCAAAGAGAATGAGGAGACGTGGCACAGCCACAAAAGCAGATGCCACTGGTCCGCCCCAGAAGAAAGATGGAGCAAGGGAAATCGACTTATAGTCAACCGCCCGCAACCCCGCCGACCCCAAAGCACAGATGAGTGGGCAGCCACCACTGGGACCAGCAGCCACAGGGCGCCAGTGACAAGCAAACAGAAGACACGTAACTGGACAGCCGCCTGTTGTTCCAGTCGCTGCGATAATGTAAAAATATCAAACAAAAGATAATTTTTAAATGATTACAGTTACAAGAGTGCTAATTAAATATAAACGTGGTGCTCAAGTATCATAATGGTTACAACTGTTGTACATAAGATTACAAACAGAAAACACTACTCATTATAGCGTCCGGATAGCCTTGCTATATAGCCAGAAATGTGGGAAGAGAGGCCTTTAAATGTTTTAAGACAGCTGAAGAGACAAGTATTCTAGCCCGTTAAGAATGAAAATCTACAGTTTTAATTTTTACTAGAAAGTTCAAAGTGCAATTACCTGAGTGACTGTGCCACTATGTTCTCACATATCGTCAGACAGTGATTCACACGGTCTTTCTTGGTGGCTGAGAGTTCTTTCTTTCTAAAAGGAAAAAAAAAAGGAAAGGAAGTGAACATGTGTTAAAGTATCCATTCCATTTATTTCTACACATCATTCATTCAGTCCATAAGCACTTCTGGACTACTAGGAATAAACCATATGCCCATGCTGGTGGGCAGGGTAGAGTCAGCACAGGGAGGCACGGGTAAGTTCGACCAAAGGCTTCCTAAACTATGTGGCACAGAAAAGTCAGGAGCTGTTACTGGTGCACCTATATTCCCCGTGTGAGAGGAAGTGCAGTACAGTGACTCACCCAAGGTGATCGCACTGATGGTGGGCCTGCGATTCAATGAAATGCAGTACCAAACCTACTCTTCATACCAAGCTGCCTCCACTGCTCAAAATCACACTGTTCACTGCCTGCAGACCTCATGCTCTCTACTAGGTATGAAATAAGGTACGGGGGGGGCACCTGGGGGGCTCAGTCAGTTAAGCGTCCAACTTCAGCTCAGGTCACGATCTCACAGTCTGTGAGCTCAAGTCCCGCGTCAGGCTCTGTGCCAACAGCTCAGAGCCTGGAACCTGTTTCATATTCTGTGTCTCCCTCTCTCTGCTCCCTCCCTGCCCGTGCTCTGTCTCTGTCTCTCAAAAATAAGTAAACATTAAAAAAAAAAATTTTTTTTAAATAAGGTATAGACAGTGACTAACCGCTTCTACCTCCCCAAACAGCTAGAAATAAGCCTCTGGCCTCAAAGCCCTTCTTGAAGCTTCCCATGAAGACTTCTGGAGCCAACACAAGGAGACAAATAGCCTGGTCAAGACCAAAGTGAAGGCACTTGCTTCCCACCCAAACCTACAGCTTCAGATGCCTTCAAGGTATGTACCTGCAAAATAAGGTACAGAGGGATGATCCAAAGAGGAAGCCAAAAATTAAACCAGGCTTAAGAGCTACATTCAGAGAAGAATTTGAGTGTGGCTACCAGTACATGGCACTAACTAAAAATACACCTAAACCAGAAGACTACTAGTTTTTGAGGAAATGATATTACCAAATTGGGGGGGGGGGGTGCGAATCTAACCTACGAACACCTGTGACTATTTAATCCCCAATGCAACCCTCAGACTCCAAAAAGTGCACCTGAAAGGACAGGCTATTACAAATTGTACAAATCCAATGAAGGCAAAGCCTCCAAAAGGCACTTCAGGGGCAAGGAAGAGCCTCGGAAGCAGGAAGCCAGTAGCCAAAAGGAAGAAGAGAGAGGGGTTCCAAACAGGAAAAGAATCAGAGCCTGAAAGAGAAGCCTAGCTCAAGGCTAGCAAGGAGGGGGCTTCCCAATGACTGGCCAACCAGAGTCCATCGTTACAGGACTGGTGATCGTGTGTTTCCTATCCTACTGGTCTCTCTCCTAAATGAGTTGTTTACCGACGACTTAATATTGCAGACTGCTGGCTCGGCATCCACCCAAACACCGTCCTTTCTCCTTGGACACACACCCCCAGTGAGAAGTTGCACTGCCTAGCCTCCCTGCAGCGAGGGAGGGGCAGGCACACTTAGTTCTCACAGACAAAATGGGAACGGGAGTGATAACGTGGAGCATGTGCCTCACTGGCTGACCCTGGGGTGTCCCCTTCTACTTCCCTCCAATTGGATTTAAATTTTTTTTTTTAACGTTTATTTATTTTTGAGACAGAGAGAGACAGAGCATGAACGGGGGAGGGGCAGAGAGAGAGGGAGACACAGAATCGGAAGCAGGCTCCAGGCTCTGAGCCATCAGCCCAGAGCCCGACACGGGGCTCGAACTCACGGACCGTGAGATCGTGACCTGGCTGAAGTCGGACGCTTAACCGACTGAGCCACCCAGGCTCCCCTACTTCCCTCCAATTGGAACAAACATGCCTAACACCCAGTTTTTGATTACACGGAGAAAGACAAGATGGCAGAACAGCAGCATGGAAGGAGCCTGGGTCCCTAAGTGACCACGAGGAACAGAGGGTTCTCACCTCCCACCCTCAGGAGCCACCCACTTCAAAGCACTATGATGGAAACAACCCAAATATCCTTCACCTGGTGGACGGACGAACAACCGCCACAGACACTGGACTACTGCTTGGCAGCAGAAAGGAGCAAACCACTAACATACACGAGAGTGAATCTCGATGCACCAGATTCAAGACCACAAAGTGGGGAATTCCATATACAGGATGTTCGGGAAGAGACAAAACTACAGGAACAGAAAGTGACCAGTAATTTACAGGGGCTGGGAGAAGAGTTGGCAGCAAAGGGCAAGAGGAAGCTTGAAGAGTGATGAAGCTGTTCTAAACCTCCAGCGTGGGAGCAGTTACAGGGCTTTACGCACAAAACTCTACACTAAACAGGGCACGTTCGGCTATTCGTAAATCACACCTCGAGTTAAAGAAGAAAAGAGAGAGTGCATTGAGAATTAAGATGTTCTCTTCCTTAACCCCCAGGTTAAAGTCGCCATTACAACAGCTTAGAGTTTACCCAGTTTAAGACCACCATCAAGAAAATTAAAGAATATTGACTATTTTATTTTAAGTAAGCATTTAGGAAGCAAACAAACTCACCTACCCATTACCTTTTGATTTCCAGAGTGCAAATCTGCCCAAGGCCTTAAATGAACTGAATTCACACACCAAGGTACCAAAAAAGAGTCAAAAAAAAAAAACAATAACAAAAAAAGTCAACAGCTTCCCAATAATTACACACATGCCTGATGGAGAATTGGCAAGGTCCACGCAACATTTATCTTTTCAGAAGTGACAGATACAAATATTAGTCTTAAAAAGAACTTTGTCTCCCTCCTCAAATATGGGATAAGCCAAAAGAATCCAGTGAGCAGTACACAACACAGTTGTCAAGGCCTGCACCTTATTTCATGGAGACCTACACGGCTGTCCCCCCCCTCCACCTTGCCAGAACTTAAGCAAACGTTTATAAAATGAACAAAATATCTAAGACAGAATATGGATCTCAGCCAGCAAAATAAAAATGCATTTTTCTGTGATCTATTTCAGTCCAGCTGCTCTTGTGGCGCTCCTTGTGGGGCAAGCCTGTCTTATTCGCCCCGGGCTCCGTCCCCAGGCCCTGCCAGCCAGCACCTCCACCACACTCCTTGATCACAACCCCTCCTGCAACTATCTCCCTGGGACGACGGACTAAGAGCAAGGACCATATTGTAAAAAAGCTGATAAAGGAATGGATGAACCAACATTTTCTGTGGAAGATTAAGTAAAATACACGTTAAAACAGACTCAAAAGTTCTGGAGTCAGTCTTAACAGATTCCAAAGATAGATAATTCAGAAGTTAGATTCAGAAGATAAATGATAATTACTTTAAACCCAAGTTTCTAGACCCAAAAGATGAAAAAGAAACAGAAACAGCAAAGCTTAAAAAAAAAAATTTAATAAATTAAAAAAAAAAAAAAGCCACATACTCAAACTCAAACCCTGTGTGGACCAGAAGCTGGAGCCGGTGGAGTCCCTCTGGCTATAATCAAGATAATCAATCACAGGCCTTTTAACGAGATCTCCAATGATTCTCACTATGCAAAAGAGGACAGTATACTTTCTATCTTGGTCAGCTTAACAAGAAAGCACAAGTTTTAAGTTTCTCTTCTTACCTTATCCACAACCACTTCCTAGCAATGATAAAATTTTAAACTTTTCCACACTCAATAATCACAAAATTCTGCAGGTAGACAAAGTCTTCAATGGTTGCTAAACAATAATTAGGAAGTACTTATTTTGTGTGAGAAGCATAAAAAAACCATCTGATCGCTACCAAATATTTTAATTTTGCTCTATTTTTCTTAAATCCATTGTTATTGCTAACATGGCTAAACATGTGTGAAACTAACACATTATCATTAAAGAACCACACAATTTCACTACATCCGAGTCAAACCCTAAACACCTGCGAGTGTAACCAAAATCCTGTAAAAAGCACCTCCTCTTTCATCACACTGAGGAATACCCACATTTTAAAGTGTGAGGATCAGACTTTACCCTCAGACACCCCAGCAAAGAGACATTAACCAAAAATATGAGAAAACGAAGAAAACAATTCTTCCAATATGACCTACTGAAAGCTGTCAGGCCACCAATGCAATGAGGAAGTAGCCACCTAGCATTTGGTGCTTAAAACTTCCAAACTGGGGTTAGAGCGCGGCCTCAGGCTCCTTTCCAACCTTTCCTCAGCCAAGCTCCTCAACCTTCAGGGAACTCTGGCCACTCCAAATAACTCCGTTGTTTTGGGCATACATCTTCAAACTCAATTCTTGTATGGTCTGTGGCTCCTGCTTGAAACATCCACTTCCTACCTTATTTTGCCCAATAAGCTAACTTGGAAATTGAAGAAAATTACAGCTGCTTCATCCCCCCCCCCATGGAATTTAACTCGCTTGATGAACTGGCACGTCAGACTGACTTGTTCTACAGGAAAAGTAAGGATGGAAATTAAGGTGGAAATGGAGCCGCCTTGCTCTGGGCAGGAACTGGGTGAACAGGGTAAGCAGTCCTGGCTCTTCCAACTTCGGTAAACGCAATCATCTTCACTTCACCTTCCATAATGCAAGCAAACTTCGGTCAGCCCTCCCTACCACTTACCGAAGCGTTCTGCACATAAACACATTTGCAAGGAGTCGCACGGAAAAGGCAAGGACGCTACGGCACAGCACAACCATGTTAAAACAACTATCAAAGAATTCTAAAACTGGGAATTTGAGCCCTCATCTAAATTCTTATTTTTAGTATCATGTTATTCTAAGACTATGCTTGAAAAATATGATTCCATGGGGCGCCTGGGTGGCTCAGTCGGTTAAGCATCCGACTTCAGCTCAGGTCTTGACTTCGTGATCCGAGGGTTCAAGTCCCGTGTCAGGATCTGTGCTCACACTCGGAGCCTGGAACCTGCTTCAGATTCTGTGTCTCCCTTCCTCTCTGCCCCTCCCCTGCTCATGCTCTCTCTCTCTCTGTCTCTTAAAAATGAATAAACATTAAAAACATTAAAGAAAAAAGAAAA